CGCTGCCGCAGGAGCTGCACCGCCGCCGCCGCCACCGCCGCCGCCGCCGACGCTAGAACGCGGTGGCGTCGGTCGCCGTTGGAAGCCACCGCGGGCTGCTGCCGCCACCTCAGCCGGGAGGGCCCCGGCGGCGTCCGCGACACTGCCGCCTGAATGCCCAGGAAAGGTGATGACGATGGTGTTGGTGATGGTGGCCCATTGGGGGGTGGAAGAAACAGCGCGTTGATGAAAAGCAATGAAGAGTGTGGAAGCCACTCCAAAAGAGGGGCTGACGTCGACACGCAAAAGGTGGCCAAAGATAATAAACGTACCCTCCCTCGACTCACCCAATCCGTACATTTTCACACACCCACACACACACTGCTGAACTCACCATGGAAAGATTGTGGCGGTTGTGGCGGTTGAGATAGGAGTGGCGCAGGTCCGCTGGTGGCGCCAACGGACGGCAATCGTGACGGCGGCAGCGGCGGCAGCGGGCCCCCTGGAGCCTCCTGGTATCCTGATGGTGGGAGATCCGGACCTCCGCCGCCGCCGCCGCCGCCGCTGCCACCACCTCCATCAGCTCGGACACTGAGAGAGGGCGCTGCGAGGCCGGTTGTTGACCCACGAGGAGAGGGCTCCTGGACGCTTGCCCATGTGGGGTATTGGTTGAGGTGTTGGTTGAGGTGGTTGTTGTGGAGGTAGTTGTGGAGGTGTTTTCGCATGGGGGAGAAAAAGGGGAGTTGGGGCGAGGGCGGGTTGTGCAACCGGTGTGCGTGTGCATGTGGGGAAAAGCGGGAGCTGCATGTTTCTTCTTCGGACAGTTATTGTTGTTGTTGCAGCAGACTACCAATGACAGTAGCGATAATGAGGAAATAATGCAAAAAGCAAAATAGTTACGTAAGATAAAATTTGTTCCTGACGAAGTTATGAAACGCAAACCCTAAGCCTTGCAGGACTAACTTTTTGGCTGTAGAAATGCGCCTCTCTAACTCGTCATGTAGACCTCAAGCGCGTAGGCAATGGTAATAAAGAGCGCCAGGAACCGTCAGTGGGTCAAAAGACCCCTAGGACATGCTAACCACCTTCCCTGGCTGCTGCTCCTACTGCTCCTGCGCTCCTGCTCCTGCTGCTCCTGCTGCTGCTATTGTTATTGCTGCTGCTGCTGCTACTGCTGCTGTTGCCCCTGCTGCTTCCCCAGGTAGTTGATTATTTCAACGCAACAACAAAACACATGCTTTCACCGCGAATCCCCGCTTTCCCTCCGCTTTTCCTTCCCCCGTTCCACACACAGATATACACACGTACACGCACAAACCTACACGCCCTCGCCCCTTCCCCGCTCTCACCTCTTGTGCGGGTGCCAGTGCCCCTCCTCCGCCCGCATCCGAACCTCCCCACACACCGCCACCACCACCCATAGCGGCAGCAGCAGCAGCAGCAGCAGTCGCAGTCGCAGCGCCACTGGAGTGACCCGACGCGGCCACATCCAGCCTGGCCAGTCGGGATATGCGGGGAGCACCCCCTCCCCCCCCTCCTCCCCCTCCTGCTCCCCCTCCAGCCCCCGGGGAGGGCGAGCGGGGGAGGGGCCCCGGCCTCCGAGTGCCCCGACTCGCCTGGTGGTAATGAGAACGTGTGTACGGGTCGCGGGTGTTGGGGTGCAGCTGTTGGGGGGTGGGGCTACGGGTATGGGGAGGTTGTGGCGGGACTCCAAAAGGGAGCGGGGATGCTGCATGCTAAAAGGAAAGCGTCAACAGGGCCCAACACGTCAAAGGTACAGGGGAAGGTACGGCGGGCGTACGGCGGAGGTACGGCAAAAGAAACGGAGTAAAAACCAAGTGGGTGGTTGAGGATGTGGGTTGGTGGGGCATGTGGCGCACCTGGAGGTGATGGGTGAGGAGGTGGAGATCTCAGGGATTGGGGAAAATGTCGTACCTTTGACCAAGGTAAGTTTGATTGGTTAGTTGATTAGTTGATTGGGGGGTTATTACCATCACCCAAGGCCTTTCCTTACGCCCATTCGAGTAGCCCTCTGCCCTAACCTGTCCAAGCTGCTTCTACCGGGTGCGAATCCCGGCATCAGCCCTTGCTTTACATCACACCCAACAAGCCCTCCCCCTCCCCCCCAAGTCCCCCCCAAGTCCCCCCGGCTCCACACCCACCTCGTTCACTGGCCCTCCCGCCCGCGTAACCCGGGCTGCCCGAGTGATGGTGAGGGTGGCTTTGGACGAGTGTACGGCACCGTCCTTGTTGGAAACCAGGCAGTGGTAGGCGCCCTCGGAGTCCAGGGAGGTCTGCGGGCGCCCGAGGGGGAGAAGCGGGGGTGGAAGGGGTTGTTGGGGAGCAGGAGGGGAAGCGGGAAAGCGGAGGAGGGAGGTGGTGGGGAAGGGGAGGATAGCGGACATGCGAAGGATGAACGGGTGTGTATGTGTGTATGTGTGTATGTGTGTATGTGTGTGTATGTGTGTATGTGTGTGTATGTGTGTGCCCAGGGTATTGCAGTGGCACTCGCATACGTCCCTCCTCCCCCCTAAAACTTTCAAGCTCCCCTTTTCCCTTATCCTCCTCCCCCAAACCCCTTTCCCCTTCCTTCCCCCCGTCACCCCGTCACCCCGGCCGCCTGTCTCCCGCCCCCCTCCCGCCCTCCCACCTGCCTACCTACCTACCCATCCCCCACACCCACCCACCCACCTGCACCAGCACCAGCTCCGGCTGGTCGGCAGTGGCCAGCAGCAGCCGCCGGTCGTCCTTGTGCCATTCGTACGTCAGGGGAGGTAGACCCTGCGTATTG